AAACATAAATACTGCTCTCCGCATCATCGTCCGCCATGGTTGTTTTTTTTTTTGCCACTTCTGCGTAGCAAGACGCATAATAGTGAAATTGGTCGGGTATTAATGACATTCAAGTCGCATGAATCCGACCTGGCTGTTCACACACACGCATTTGTAAAGATCAGATTCGTATCGGACCACATAGCCAAGCGGCCGGGGTCGGATTGGAAAAAATTGGATCTGTGTTGTTCAGACAGCCATGAAAAGATCAGATTCAGGTCGCATGTGGGCCAAAAAAATCGGATTTGGGTCACTTCAGGCTGCTGTGTGAACGTAGCCTAAAAGTAGCAGCAGCAGCAACCCAGACTGACAGCAGCTCATTGGATAAATTGGATCACATGTAGCCTGGTGCCGGACGCTCTGGAGGGCTTTACCGTATTAACAGGAGAAGCGGTGCAAGTGAAATTAGACACTGCTGTCAGACACATGCAGTAAATTATAAATTATTTAAATCAGGTTGGGTCCGGATTAGCCAGCAGGTCCGTTAATCCATTACCGCTGGTTTACTCAAATAAAGACAAGTAAAACAATAAAGTCGTACCTCATTGGCTGCATAAATTCCAAAGGAATGAAGATTATTATATTTTAACATTATCTGGTGAATGTTCTTGGGGAAACCGTCCCAGTGATGCCAGTAACTGTCAATCAATCTTTCCTATGTTCAACAGCGTGACATACATGCATGTTAATGTGCTTTTTAACCCAACTACATAAACATGAGCAACATTAATTTACTGAAAGTTATTTATTATAATTGAACTTTCATTTTAATACTAGTATGTATGTTTTTTTAACCTAATATTAAAGTTAAAATGAGTTGACCCAGATGGCAGCTACAAACTGTTTGTCAGAAGCCTGAGGTTTATTTGTAGTATTAATGGTGCCTTCATGTGGTGTCGTAATTATGGTAAATACCAAACGCCTGCATGAGAATTGCACATCAACACCCACTCATGTCGTAATTTCCAACTTTTTTATCATTAGAGCTTCTCAACAAAATGTACAAAAACAGGTCGCCTGCATAAACACACATAAGATTATAAGGTGATAGAAAATAAAATGCTAAATGTTTAACAGAGGGGACAAACAAAAGCATAAAGAGCAGAATACACACAAAGGGGCACTAATTCTCATTATATAAGTTCAGCGGGCACCAAGCAGCTGTATAAGCTTCTTTCTTTTCATCACTTTAAAGGTTTCTAAGGTGGTTGTCCATCACTAGGCTTTTTTTCAAAGTAGAAAAGTCAGGCTTCCTGTTTCTCCATTCACAGGAGTGGATGAAGTATTTGGAAATGATCAGCTGGTTGTATGAGGTCAGAACTTCTGTCTTACTTCTGACAAAATAAATTGTGCGTGTTTATACGTTTCCAGCATAATAACACTTGTTTGTGAAAAGAAGCCAGCTTCACATGGAGTCTATCAACACCAAAGTCACATCTAACAACAAAATATATCCCCACATTTGTTTTAAACAAACCTTTGGGAAGGTGATAATGGAATACCATTTCCATTCATTAAGAAAAATACATCCAGTTTATTTTTAAGACAGCATTTTATCATTCAAAGTCAATGGCCTGTAAACAATCTATAAAGTGTTTTACCATGTTTGGACTTTATTTATCCATATGAACTTAAAGTTGAATTGATTTATAGCTTGAATATGTTTGTTGGGTCTGACCATAGAATATGCAGGATATATTTATCTAGACAGTGATTCTACTTTACGTTACACAGGTTCTCCTCCTGGATCGATTTGAATCAATCTATTCAACTCTGGGTTTTATTTTCTATGTTAACAGTTTTACTGACTTTAGCATCTTAAGTTATTAGAATTCTAAGATAGTATATAAGGATTTAATGGGAATACCATACGCTGCTATGAGATTGTCAGGAATCGCCAACAGTTCACATTCCTGTAGGTTTAAAGCTAAAGCTGATGTGGGCGTGGTTTGGTGGAGCAGTGGTTAGAGCACACGACCCATCTACGGAGGCCTTAGTCCTTGACGTGGCCGACCCGGGTTCGAATTTGACCTCTGGTCCTTTGCCGCATGTCTCTCCCTCTCTCATACCCCCTTTCCTGTCACCCTACCGTCTGAAAAATGAGACGATAGTGCTGTAAAAACTAAAAAAAAAAAACAACTAAATCTGATGCTTTGGAAACATGAAATGAGTAATGCAAGAACTTCAAGAGTTTGGTCCAGGCTCTTCAAAAAGCTTGTGGTGTCGTCAGTTGGCTGATTATGAATCAGACATAAAATAATGTTCGGTTTTGGTTTATTTGAGTGTTTTTATGAAGATAGCCATCCCTGCAACAGCCAGGATAAAGAGGAAGGGAGAATTATTGCAGCTCTGCTTTACTCCCCTATTAATGGTAAATCATAGAGAAGGTACCATGAGGAAAGGCAACCCAGCTTATAGTGCCGTTTCTACAATTCTACAAAAATCTGTCCCAAAACCAAACGAGTGTAAGAAAAGAAACTGATGCTCCAACATATCGAAGGGTTTATAACAGTCGAACAGGATGAAGCCTTTATCCTCCATCAGATCACTGTACTCTACTAAATCCTGGACGAGTCTGATGTTGTTGTGTATTTATCTTTTTTTACATAAAACCTGCTTGAGTTTCAAAGATAACATCCTAGAGACCAGCTATTTGTCTATTTGTGTATCTAAATGTCAGTATCTAAAAAAAGTTAAAAAAAACCCAACAACAATCCACTGGACTTTGTTTCCAAGTTTGAAGGTTTTTCGCTTCCCATCTAAGAAGATTTTTCATTCAAAATGTCAGGAATAGCGTTGAGTTCGAGTCTTTATACAGTAGCGAAACAAAGCCTTGTTTTAGTTTAGAAAAGATGCAAATTAAAACTCAAGAGGTTCGATACGATTATCGACTTTCCCTCCGTGCTCAGGGTTCCCGCGGGTCCTTAAAAAGTCTTAAAAGGCATTGAATTCTTCAAAATAAAACTAAGGCCTTAATTGGTATTAAAATGTCTTAAATCAGTCTTTTAGTAGGTCTTAATTTTTTAAACATCATAAATAGGATTATTTTTATTAGGATTTATTTTTGTGATCTAAATAAAACATTGAAATTGACCTATTTTTTTTTATTTAAAAAAAATAACGGCTCGCCATTATTGGTTCCGTCCCGATAGCGGAACCAATAAAAGCGTTGTTGCAGCCGGGACATTTAACGGGACCATTAACTTTTTGTCTGGAAAATATGAGCAAGTGTAAATGTAACCAAAATTGTCTCCAGCCAAGAGTTTTCTCCGTGGCTAAAACCAGGGAACATACATGAGGCTCAGTGGATTTATGCAAGAAGTCATTCAAGCTCAGAACGATGGGAATTAAGGCAGTGGAGTCACACATGCGAAGCAGGAAACACAAAGCGTCAAAATGGAGTTACAGAGAAACAGCCGGTATTTCTCAGTTTAGTTCCACCCTTGTCTCTGCAACGCCTCCACTTATCACCAAATCAAACATACTAAGAAAACCATACAAAGAAAAATAGCTGCAAAAAAGACTTAGCACTGGTTATGTTGTGACTTTAAAACTGATTTGTTTTGTTCCCTGCTAAAACAAAGTTTGTGAATTCAGTTAAATAATTGTTCAAATATATCTGTCATTTGTGTGTTTTTAGCTTTCTTCCTGTATGGGAAGCTTTTCAAAATTAGAAACATTAGTGCAGTGGTTTATGTTAAAATAAAGCTTTGGTAAAGTTGTCGCAAGCAGGTTTTTCTTGTTTCTTGTGAATTTGGTCTTAAATTTTTATTTCAAATGGCATTAAAAAGTCTTGAATTTAACTTGCCTCATGCTGTAGGAACCCTGGTGTTACTTTGCTAGCAAATCACCCCCGATCATGTGACCCTTCAAATTGCGACCTTTGCAGTCAGAAAGTCTTGTTTTACCCTAACGCGATCTTATTGCAAATACAATTAATCATTCAGCCCTACAGAGTAATATCAAACCTGCCAACCTGAAGGCTGTCTTTCTGTCTGTCCTTACAGTGTCTACAGTACAAGACGGACCAGGCTCAGGATGTGAAGAAGATTGAGAAGCTCCATGGGAAACTGATGAGACTCATGGTGTCCAAGGAAACCCACAGCGGCGCCATGGAGACGGACTAACGCGCCCTGGAAGCGCTTTGCTTTGGAGGACTGAGCTCAGAGGACTCGGCGGATGTTTAGAGCACAAAACCATCAGTGAGGGGATCTGATTGGCTGCCCTGATGGAGCGCTGTCAGAGCAGCTGGATCGATTATTTACTGTATATATCATATTATTTGGAGTATTTTGGTTTTATCCCATCTCAGTCCACTAAATACACTAGATTCTAGATGTTGGTTCAGTCCAGTGTGGACTGAGATGGTAAAGGAGCTGTAAAGATGGAGAACATCTATATAGTTTAGAGGAGGCTGGATTTATTTTCTGTTTTCAGGTGGGGAAGGAACAGAGGGGGAGATGTTTTATCTTACTCTGTCATTGCATTTCATTTAGCTTTTCCTTAACGGACCTGTGCCAACTAAAGGAAGCGGGACCGTCTGATTGAGGAGCAATCCAGATTTTACAGCAACCTCCTCATCTCCAAAAGCCAGAAGGATTTCAATAAATGATTATTTTCTCTGGTAAAACCAAAGTTTCTCCTGTAATTTTTCCTGAATGTGATGATTGTTCCTTCTGGAAGCAACAATCTCTTCCTTACTTAGTTATTGGTGTGAGATCAGAACAAAACTCAGCATCTAGTGAACGGCGCTAGAATCTGTTTAGAGTTTGTTCATCAATGAAACAAAGACTGATTCACCATGGCAACGGTAGAAGCCTCTAACGACTCAATTAGTGGCCACACCCCCAGAACACAGGGAAGGAGAAGGGCTGATGGGCGGAGTCTTTAAAGGATGCCATCTTTTCTCATTGGTTCCTCTGCCCTGTGGGTGTGGCCACTAAACATTTCAGCCTGAGATTTAGATTTAAAAGATTCTTGTTAAATGTAAGAATTAGATATAGATTTAGATCTATGCTTTTGCATATAGTACATAGAGCAGTATTTATTCTGATCAAGAACAGTAGAGGGAAGAAAATGCAGTTACTCATAATAATTAAAAATGTGGCATCAAAATGTAAAAAAATACCAGTTTGTGGTTTCATGGTGTTTATATAAAAGATTAAACTAAAATAAAGAACATTGCTAGATTATCAAACTGTTATCTAACCTGTTTGATTGGGAAGTGTGTGGCCTGGTGGTTAGGGCATTGCTCTTTAAGTTTGAGTCCTACTCCCATGGACTGACACCCTGGGTCCCTGGGCAAGACCGTTAACCCCACACTGCTCCCAATGGCAGCCCACTGCTCCCAAAGGGATCGGTTAAATGGAGAGAGTTCATTTTGTTGCTTTGTACTTCTGATA